GCCCTTCTTTCATAATAATACATTTTATCTATATTGCACCTTTCATTTCCAGGAAGCCTCAAAGTGCTACAGATTAAAATACAATACAAGAAACAAACAGAAAAAAACATCAGAAGTACATAACATTTCAAAAATGAACATGAAGGTGTTGAAAGCACTTAAAATCCCTAATAGTTCTGATTAAGAAGGTGTTCAGGCCTCTTTCTTCTTTCGATATGTTGCTATGTGTGAATTTAGCAGTACTAGCTTCTTTACATTTTTGTCCTGTAAGAACCTTCTAAGCATTAAACATAAGAAGACAAAATGATTACTTTTACATTTAGGAACAGTGGTTATTCAGTTATCATAGTTTCTTTCATTAGGTAAAATCCTTCAGCTGTTACCACGGCGACCACTGCTCCTGATAGACTACTGTAGCCACAGCTGCCCTGGGGCACACTGACAGAAACGAGGCAAACAGTATGTGCCATTGGCCCCTCTGACCACCACCAACCATTCACACACACACACACACCAGACTCATTCTAGGCAGTGGAGGGTGAAGTGTCTTGCCTAAGGACACAACGGCAGTTTGGCACTTTACAGGAATTGCCCGTATACTAAAGTGCACTTTTATTTGGCATATGAAGATCATCAATATGCTTTTACTATACCCAACGGACATAAAATTGCAGATTCTACTAGGGTTAGATAATACTGTTGTTTATCCCACCCTATAAGAAAAAACCCCCAAAAAGACAGGAAGTAAGCATACAACAGTTGCATTTTATTTTATAGTTGATGCGGCAAGAACCACGTTTTTTATTTGAAAAGACAAGATAGAGAATGATTTGCTGCTCCAGATTATAGGTCCTGACAACATAAATAAATTAGCATGAAAAGTGCACAATAAAAACACATGAATATGAAAGTATTGGTGTCGCTGTGTTTTTGCTTTTGGACCTCGTTCTTTCAACATTGCTTCTCTTGTGCACACTTAATTCTCAGTTTAACACGTTTGGACACAGATGCACAGAGTGTTGTTCAGTTTTACTAGAATCATCACACAATATTTTGTATATTTATGTATATATTTATTTATTTATGTATGTATATATGTATGTTTATATTCAATGTTTTATTTTTCATTTTATTTTATTTATTCATTATTTTTTTCCCCAGACAAACACAGGAGAATCACAGTTGCTATTTTTATAAAAAACATACCTATAACAAAATCAAAAAACGATTTTGCCTGAAAGGGAGTTGGAAGACGACAAAGGGAAAGGACCTTTATCCCCACCGCTGTCAGACTGTACAACAAGTCACTTTAAGTCACTTGCATTAGGACTGAAAAACCTGCACTACTAATGCCACTGTTTCTTTGATTGCCACTTTTTATTATACATAATATATCCTGCATTTAACACGTTTGCACATTTTAATGGTCTGACATGGCATCAGATCCAATACAGTCGACTCACACACACAAAAAACAAATAAACACAACAATATAAGTTCATAGAAGAAGGTCAAGTACTCATATTATAAAAGAGAGACCTCCCCCACAGACATGACCATAAAAGAGCAGTAATAAAAAGCTTAAAAGGTATCACAATACTTTGTTCATTATACTAACAGCAGTGGGAATAAAACCACTCTTGTACCGCTGTGTCCGGCATCTTGGAGCTGAAAATCTCCGTCTCGAGGGCAGAGTTGTAAAGTGCCTGTGCTGTGGACGGGACTCATCCTTCAGTGGTGCCGAGAGACACTGAGGAGCAGGACTGTGGTAGTCTGAACTAATTACTGCAGTGCATATGTTTTCTTATGACTTTAAATATGAATCTTTATTTTGATTTCAGATTCATTTCAAATTGGTTTGCATAAAAAAAGAAAAGAAAAATGAATACAAAAAGACAATGCATTACAGTGTATACATTCAGTCCAAGCAAATTGTTGAGTGAATCTGTCATATGCGTTCTCAGATCAGACATGTGTGTAGCAAAAGAATGTTATACAAGCGGTTATATGATGTTTGGGTTAGAGGCTTGCTGTGGAAAAAAACAACTCAAAATTGCCTACACAAAATCTTCAAAACAGCGAGGTTGAGAAAGGGAACTACTGTACTCGAAATCGCAAACCAAAAATATATTTGTTAAAACTAAATCAATACATACATTGCCTTGCGAAAGTATTCCGCCCCCTTGAACCTTTCAACATTTCGCCACATTTCAGGCTTTAAACATAAAGATATAAAAATATTTATTTTTGTCAAGAATCAAGCACAAGTGGGACACAATCGTGAAGTGGAACGAAATTTATTGGATAATTTAAACTTTTTTAACAAATAAACTGAAAAGTGGGGCGTGCAATATTATTCGGCCCCCTTGCGCTAACACTTTGTAGCGCCACCTTTTGCTGCAATTACAGCTGCAAGTCGCTTGGGGTATGTCTCTATCAGTTTTGCACATCGAGAGACTGGAATTCTTGCCCATTCTTCCTTGCAAAACAGCTCGAGCTCAGTGAGGTTGGATGGAGAGCGTTTGTGAACAGCAGTCTTCAGCTCTTTCCACAGATTCTCGATTGGATTCAGGTCTGGACTTTGACTTGGCCATTCTAACACCTGGATACGTCTATTTGTGAACCATTCCATTGTAGATTTGGCTTTATGTTTTGGATCATTGTCCTGTTGGAAGATAAATCTCCGTCCCAGTCTCAAGTCTTTTGCAGACTCCAACAGGTTTTCTTCCAGAATGGTCCTGTATTTGGCTCCATCCATCTTCTCATCAATTTTAGCCATCTTCCCTGTCCCTGCTGAAGAAAAGCAGGCCCAAAGCATGATGCTGCCACCACCATGTTTGACAGTGGGGATGGTGTGTTCAGGGTGATGAGCTGTGTTGCTTTTATGCCAAACATATCGTTTTGCATTGTGGCCAAAAAGTTCGATTTTGGTTTCATCTGACCAGAGCACCTTCTTCCACATGTTTGGTGTGTCTCCCAGGTGGCTTGTGGCAAACTTTAAAGGAGACTTTTTATGGATATCTTTGAGAAATGGCCACTCTTCCATAAAGGCCAGATTTGAGCAGTGCACGACTGATTGTTGTCCTATGGACAGACTCTCCCACCTCAGCTGTAGTTATCTACAGTTCATCCAGAGTGATCATGGGCCTCTTGGCTGCATCTCTGATCAGTCTTCTCCTTGTTTGAGATGAAAGTTTGGAGGGACGGCCGGGTCTTGGTAGATTTGCAGTGGTCTGATACTCCTTTCATTTCAATATAATTGCTTGCACAGTGTTCCTTGAGATGTTTAAAGCTTGGGAAATCTTTTTGTATCCAAATCCGGCTTTAAACTTCTCCACAACAGCATCTCGGACCTGCCTGGTGTGTTCCTTTGTCTTCATGGTTCTCTCTGAGCTTTAAACAGAACCCTGAGACTATCAAAGAGCAGGTGCATTTATACGGAGACTTGATTACACACAGGTGCATTCTATTTATCATCATCAGTCATTTAGGACAACATTGGATCATTCAAAGATCCTCACTGAACTTCTGGACTGAGTTTGCTGCACTGAAGGTAAAGGGGCCGAATAATATTGCACGCCCCACTTTTCAGTTTTTTATTGTTAAAAAAGTTTAAATTATCCAATACATTTCGTTCCACTTCACGATTGGGTCCCAATCAACAACATGTGCACTTGTTGTTGATTCATGACAAAAAATTAAAATTTTATATCTTTATGTTTGAAGCCTTAACTGTGGCGAAATGTTGAAAGGTTCAAGGGGGCCGAATACTTTCGCAAGGCACTGTACATGTCACACTGCAGTCCAAGAGTCCACTCATGGAGATTCCAACCATTTTTATTTATCTAATTAAACTACAGCCATTATCTTTCATCAGGTCATTCACTCCTCTTTGTTTCCTTTGGACCACAATATATACAATGTATACCAGCCCAGGTGCTCATGCTGCAAAAAAAATACACATAAGGTAATAATATCTTGAATCGAATGATTTTTACCTTAATCTGAATACATTCTGTCTAAAAACAAGGTTTGCCAATGGGTCAAAGCAATTTAGTCTTGAATTGTTGTTTATTTAGTCAAGAATTGTTGTTTATTTTCTCATTCCAAGGGAGACATTTCTTGCATTTTCTAAAAAACAAGATCATTTTGCTCTGTCCCATTGGCGAATCTGGTTTTAAGGCAGTCAAAATGTCCCCAAGTTTAGACATATTTTGGACTTATTTTTATGACTTTTTGCAGTGTATATGTTGTGATTTTAATTAAATGAATCCAAACGCAGATCCAAGGAATGAAAAGTTCATTTAAATAACAAAAAAACACAAAAAAATGACGTCCAAAGAAGCTCCTGGAAAAATACTGAGGAGACACAAATAGGCGTTTAAACATGCCCAATAAAAAGTGTTTCTCAGATTTTCAGAATTGGCTTTGCTTCTACCGCAGTCAAGGCTCGAGCTGGCAGAGGCTGAGTGGATTTACAACATAGAAATATTCTCTCCAATTGGCCTGATGGGAGACAGGTGGGCTCTCCTCTCAGCAGGCACCAGCTCACCTGCAATGGGGGAGGAAACACACACACACAAGGGGAGGGGAAGAGGGGAGGAGGGGGCACAGCAGGAGCATATGCCCTCCTCCGAATAAGGGGCCCCCTCCTTAAAATAATTTAGGAGTCATTATTCTGACACATTTTGAGTATGCAATTTTTTCTTGTTTTTTGAAATGGTTCCCCTCGCATTTGCACCTCATCAACAACTTTTTCTACCACTGTAGCCATAGCTGCCCTGAGGCTCGCGGCCGCCAATCTGGGTCCTTCCAACTTCCACATTCGGAATTCTATAGATCTGACAAAAGTCTGTAACAGAATACAAACAGAATATATGAAACATGTTTTATTGCCTGTATTTCTGCCCCTTGACATTGTGGCCTCTGTGTGTGTGTGTGTGTGTGTGTATGTTTGTGTACGTATTTGTGCCTGTGTGTGTATATATGTGTGTGTGCAGGCGCTGGTCAGACTTCCTCCTCAGATTTCCCAGAGTGAAGAGGTGCTGCGCTTTTTCGAGACCAAAGCCGAGGACGTCAACCCCCCTGTCGAGTGAGTGTCACATTTGCAACATCAACGCTACACACAGAGACGCTACACTACTGATCACGAGAAAATACTATCCAAACTCATGTCAAATAAGAATTATTCGCCAAAATACAAAAATATGTAGAAAGTCAAAATGATAATAAATGAAACTACTTTATACTTTGGGCCATAACCAGCTCTTGTGTTTTTAAACCTGACCCTGACCCAAATGAGTCTGACATGTCTGATGTACGGGAATATAAATCAACCTCATACATTACTTTTTGGGTGATTTTGCTTCCGGAACCATAAGCTCCGCCCCTCTGCTGAGCCTCTGCAGTGATCACATGTATAGTTATAATAAGACATTCAGAATCCAGTCTGATTTACAACATGTGCCTCCTGCTGGTGTATGTTTAAGATGAAAGATGGCACAGCCGCACCTCCCTCCTCCGTCTGAATCACGGCACGTAAATCTTCTAGCTCTGGCTGCTCAGATGATTCAATATGGAAATTTGATGGGATGTTGATTGAAAACCGGATTGTGTTGAAGTATATATATATTAGAAGGTTCCTCCAGTGTATTTGAATGTGATTGTCAAGGTTCCTGTCTGAATAATATACGTGTTGCCTAAGTCCAGTTTATTCACATATTGTTTTGAGATGCTACGGGCTCTGAAATGAATCAAATCACATGAAAACATGTAGTAAATCTTATATAGTTTAATATTCAGTGTGAATCTGTTTACTATGTTTTTGTTCAAGTAAAACCAGGGGGCAAATCAGGTCTGCCTGGCAATCTGCACCACTGACCGTGTTCCACATACGGATAGAAATCTGGCCCAGTCCAGAGGTGGGGAATTATTTTCTCTGGGGCCACATTGGGATATCAGCATGTTTTGGAGCTCCAGACCAGTTCTTACACGGTTATCATTTAATTGGCAGCACATTGGTGCAGTGGTTCGCACCCGTGCTTCACATGTTTTGTTTTTGATGTTTTTATTGGTTAAGAGCAACACGAATCATGTGGTTGTATTCTTGAAGTAGCTTTAATTATTGGTATAATTTGAAGTACCATTAATTTCAATGTTGGCAAAATAGATTAAGACAAAACAGACGCATAGAATTGTGAGTGGACTGTATTTCGCCCAGGTCTGGTCTTGTCGATAGTGATATAAATCTAATTGGTGTGAGGCTTGCCGTCAATCCAACTGTTATTAAAAAAAGTGCTGTGAATTGATTTGGCCCTGAGCTTAAGACCCCTTGAAAAATGCAGCCCTTGTAAAAATGTAATTAAAACTAATACTTAAGGCTATACCCACCTCCTATACAATATAAAATTCTGCAGAAAAATCCTCCTTGAGTTTTCTGTTACTGTACACTGCCTGTCTGATCCTGTCTGTTCTATCTTTACAGCTTAATAGACTTGCCTGAAACGCTGCAATAGCCGGGTTCATTACTTCTCTGGTGCTTATTCCCTATTCAGAATCAGCTCCTCTTTGTATTTAGCTGAGACGTCCTCGCGGGTTGAAGCGGGCTTGCGTTTTTAGAGGCAGGAAGGGAAGGGAAGGGGGGTGGTTGATGGATTTGCGGGTGGGCAGAGGGGATGCGGCTCCGTCTCATAGCACGAGATGGCCCCTTTGGGTAGTTTTTAATTAGAGAACGCACTCTGCTGCACGAGCCTCAAATGCCAGTATCTCCGTGTTCATTTGTTATGTGTTCCTGTGTGCGTGCAGACAGCGGGCCCCTGAGCGCCGCTGTTACTTCTTACTCCTGAAAGAAGGAAGCACTTTTTTCTCAATATTTTTTTAATTAGATTTTGCTGCTCTGGTTGATTTGTAACAAGTATTTACCTCTTTGGCTATAGTTGGTAATAGCCTGTAGACTATACTTTGTAATGTTTGTGACCGTCACAGCTTGGACCCAGAGCTGTGTTGTTTTTTGGGTTTGTTTTTTCTCATTTGTCTGAGACAGTGGATGTTAATGGACACACCTGTCTGGATTGTAGTCTTGGAATATTCAGCATCTGTTGTCCAGGCAGTCTGATAGAGTGGCACTCACAAACACACACTCATTTGAACTAAGGCAGCGATACAAGTTCCTGATATTAGCCTGGATGGATTTAGGCTTTAGTTCAGGTTTATGATGTGAAACATAGTTAATGCTGGATTACCTCACTTTATTTGTGTATTCAATCCATATCCATGCAGTGCATTGGGATATACGTCCTTTTGAAGAATAAGTAGCGCAGGTTCATAATGGAGTGTGATTTTATTTTAGATCAAGTTTTTGTGCAACACGGAAAATAATTTGTTTCGGAACCAGATCGTGACCAATCACAGCGGACCACTGGCCCGCACTTTCTTGAGAAAATCTTCAGGTCTCTCGTTAGCACAGACAGCTGAGGTGAACGAGCATCAAGGCGGAGGTGAACCTGAAACTTCCTGTGTCTTCGTTACCGGTTACTGCTTACTCAGCGAAACAGCCAAAAGAAAGTCTCGTCCTTCGCGCTTCCTGATTCTATCAGTCTATGGTCACGCCATCCACGTTCAAATGTGCGATCCATATTGTGAGACGTGAGCTCCGTAAACAACAGCACATGAGCACAGGCTGAGGGGGAGGGAGGTAGTGGGGGGCAAGAGCTTCATGAGTGCGGGGAGCGAAGCAGAAAGAGCAAGAGCAGCGCTTACATTTCAAATGGCTGCTTCGAAATCACAAAGTGAGTTAGTCCAGCTTTAATTAAAAGGGTGAAAAAGTTAGAAAAACAATGGATTGAGGAAAAAAGGATATATTTGTCTCCCATCTCCCAGCCCTAAGTAGTAGTAGTAGTATTTGTGTAGAGCGCAGGTGTCAAACACAAGGCCCACGAGCCAAATACTAGACCATCTTTAGTGGCCTCTGAAATTATTAATATTAACTTAAAGTTAATATGAGTCACCATGGTGTGCTGTACCTCATTTTAAAGCTCCCCCGACCAACAACAAAAACCTATATCTTATGTAATTCTAAAGTTTGAACTCAAACGACCAAATTGGCTAATACTTTTACTTTGATAGTTTTGGTCAGTCCGAACACATTTAAACTGAACAAGTTTAATATATATATAATGTTATATTAATCTAGTTCAGTTTGAATGATTATGAAAATTGTAGATTCACACTGAAGGCATCAAAACTATGAATGAACTCATGTGGAATTATGTACATACAAAAAGTAATCTTTTATTTATATACCGCCTTTTCACTGCAGATCAGAGTCTCAAAGCGGTTTACAATTGTTAATTATGGGCATTTATCTCTCACTCCACACAGAGATGGGAGCGGGGTCGCCGGTACAGGAGGCGCATGCTAGAACTATTGGACATATTTTTAGTGGTAGGGGAAACCGGAGTACCCGGAGGAAACCTACGCAGACACGGGGAGAACATGCAAACTCCACTCAGAAAGGCCCTGGTCCGACCGGGATTCGAACCCAGGACCTTCTTGCTGAGAGGCAAGAGTGCTATCCACTCAGCCACCGTGCCGAGTGGATAGCAAATAGTATGAAACACCTACAAATATGTCCTATATTCTAGGTTCTTCAAAGTAGCACCTTTTGCTCTGATTACTGCTTCACACACTCTTGGCATTCTCTTGATGAGCTTCTTAGAGGTAGTGACCTGAAATGGTCTTCCAACAGTCTTGAAGGAGTTCCCAGAGATGCTTAGCCCTTTTGCCTTCACTCTGTGGTGTGGCTCACCCCAAAACCATCTGGATTGGGTTCAGGTCCGGTGACTGTGGAGGCCAGGTCATCTGGCCCAGCACCACCACTCTCTCCTTATTGGTCAAATAGCCCTTACACAGCCTGGTGTGGATCTACAGTCAATAGTCATGAAAAGAAAGGAAACTCATCGAATTAGAAAGTGTGTCCAAACTTTTGGTCTGTACTGTATATAGTAAACGCTATGTCAAAATAGACTCATTATGCATATCCACAGATGCAAAAATGAGCTTCTATGCAGAATTCTTAAATGTAATGGAAAGGTCACACACTCAGCAAAAGTACATACAAAAAACAACAACACAATAGCGACATTCAAAAACAGCAACTTCGTGGCCTTCAACATTTGGAATAAATGATGCATGATACAATGGGGGGATAACAGCGTTCACTTTAGTATAGAGAAGGACCATTTCTTTGATCAGAAATTATCAAGCAAACATAAAGAAAAAAAAAAATTATGTTACTTACCCACCACTGTGTATTTTCCCTCGTCGTCTGAGCAGGATTTAGTGACTTCAACCAGACGGTATTTCTCAGGGAGCTGTAATTGTCACCGAGCCGCACTCCTTCCCTTTTAATCCTTTGCGTCTCTCTCTGCATCATAAATATCAAGTGTATTTAATTGGCGAGACAGCTCAAGGTTACAAACACCGACGCAATCATTCTTTTGATCAACGGCTTTGGCTTTTCCTCGTCAGGCTTTCCATCACGCCCGAGCGCTCCTCTCCTCTCGCTCTCTTTCAAGCCTCTCATGCACTGATTTGCAAATGTCTTATAATATGCCAAGTTGACTTTCTGGATCTCCAAGAACAAGGCATAATCTCGTTCACTCATTCAAACACACCTGAAGTGAGTGAGTTGAGTAATCCTGCTTTTTCAGTCGGTTCCATTTATACCATAGCCTTTTGAATGTACTTGATGCTCTGTCCTGGGTTTAAAGTCCTCCAAAGCATTTCTCATACACACACACATTAAATATGAAATATAAATTGCCTATGCTATATCACCTAATTGCCTTGTGTGAGTTGTTCATTAGAGATGCCCTTTAAGCATTGTTAGTTCTGTCCCTGTTCAGATAAAGCATAATAGAATTACACATATGGTGTCTCCATTGATTTGATACAGCCCTACACTGCAAAAAATGATAAAATATTAGGGAATAATAGCTTAAATCGAGTGTTTTTTAAACTTTTGGGACAAAGCTATTTATTCATATTTCAAGAACTGTTGTTTTTTTGTTCTTATTCCAAGTGAGACATTTCTTGTATCTTTTTAAAACAAGATAATTTTGCTTGACCTACCAATGGCAAATCTTGTTTTGAGGCAGTCAAAACATGCTCAAATTAAGACACATTTTTCCAGATTTGGGCTATGTTTCAAACAGAGAACTTTGCCATTATTACTGTATGTAGATTAAGATATCCTTCATTCGTCCCACAGTGGGGAATTTTCAGTGTTGCATCACAAGTGACAGAACAGTAGGAATGAGAAACACACAACAAAAATAAAAAAAAAATCTAAAAAGCAACAAAAAAAGACAGGAAAGGGAGAGAGCGATGATACAACCAACCAGCCAGCTCCGACCAGGTTAACTCAACTCACAAAAAAGAAAAATCCTCATTATGAGTTTTAATGACCAAAAATATTGCAATCTGTGCAATAGCTTAGATTAGACCAACATTTCTATTGTGTTTCTCCATACGTTTACATGTATTAATGCTAACTTGCTAATACTAACTTCAAGAAGTCCACAAACCTATTATCAAAGCAAAAGTATTTTCTATAAAGTTATTCGAGGAAACAAACAAGACGGTGCCGCTGCAAGTTAATGGAAGTCTTCAGTCAAAACGCCTCCTTCTAATCACTCACACAACATGCTCGCACAATCTCGCTGTGAAGATACACAAACATCGCAGAAGCCATGACTGCATGAACAGACTGAGAGAGAGGCGCTCAATAATGATTTATGTGATGGACCCATTGAACCAACTCATAAATTAATCATTCCAGCGACATGTTTTCAATGAAATATTACTTATACTGCTAATTACATGGCATTAGAGAAAACCTAGAGTGAATGTACTGTCTGTCAGAGGCAAAACGTGAACTGCACAGATGCTGCTTCTTGACCTTTAGGTTGAGAACGGACAAAATTGTTTAAAAATAAGTGTTAAATGGTCACAAGCTTTGGGTAATGACCGAAAGAAGGACCTACGCAGACACAGGGAGAACATGCAAACTCCACACAGAAAGACCTGGAGGTGAAATCAAACCCAAACGTTAATCACCGTGCCACCGTGCTGCCCAGAGATAGTGGAGGAGTCCAGGTTTCAGGGGTCCCATCGTCCCACCGTGACACAGACAATGGGACAACGGGTGAATAGCAATGAACAGACTACAGCTGAAATCACAATGATGACAGATGAAGTAGAAAGAGGAGAGGATAGTGCTCAAGTTACCATAGTTCTCCAACAGGGGGCACTATATGCAGCTTGACTGACAATCCGTGTCTTTAGACTTCAAGATGTATTTCTAAGTCTTATTCACATCGGGCTGGAAAAATGGCGTCGTGGCAAGAGCTCTGGTGAGTGCTAGTCTTGCAGTTTTTCCAATGTGGTTTTTCTGCAAATGACATATACATTCTTGAATCTTGAATCATACCTGAGTCTTAACCTCACCAAACGCTGAATTAAAAATGACTCTTTTAAGCCTGTTCTTGAATGTAGAGACAGTGTCCGCTTCCTAGACGTGGATATTCTTGTTAAATTAATGTCTTTCTGGTTGAACTCGCTCTAGTGATGTCACATATTTGCCCTCAATCAACTCTCCCATCTCACTGCGTCTGATCCCCGGTCTCTTTTCTTATTAATAGACAGAGAATTACCAGGAGGCGAAGCTCTCACTGCTCAGAATGGCAAAGATTGCTCAGTTAATCGCTCTAAGACGTCATGATCCCAGGGTCCGATCCGGTGACTAAATTGGATGGGCCCTTTCCATTCCCTTTTACCCATAATGCATCCCAGCTAAATGAGAGTGAATTAAGGGAGTGTGTTTAGGATTCAAATTGGTCATTGATTTAAATCGGGACACTGGGGTTTGTGCTGGTGTGTGCATATGTGGTGAGGGAGAGCTAAGTGATGAAATAGAAAAGTCTTTGGAAATCGGAGACAGATGGACCCCCCCAGGAATAATTTTAATCCATCAACGTGAGAGTATGCATGGGTATCCTGAGGTCATCTGCTGATAATCTTGTTAACTGTTTGAATCTTGGCTGTGCGGAAACTTTTACAACAGAAGTCAACGGCGATTTCTATCTACTTTTGTATTTGGGTAATAAACTGCTTTTAAGTGAATTTGGAAGAGTAGTAGTAGTAGTTTTGGTGGGTTGCTTGATAATGCATGCAAAGCAGATGTTGTTTTACGAGCAACAAGACTGACTGCTGCTAACTGCTATCAAGGAAACAGTGTGTTGCTATGGTAACCAGCACACGCTCTTCTCTGGTGGGAAACCAAGCTGATTCAGAACCGGTTCAGAGCCAGCACCTTGGCAAAAAGTGGGTTCTAACTGCCATAGGATATGATATACTGTAGATACAAGGTACATTATTTGCCATTTGCAGTAAAACCACATTGGAAGAAGGAAAAAAACATTCTAGAAGGAAAAAAACACACATACTTTAGAATGAAAAAACATTCTAGAAGGAAAAAAACACACACTTTAGAACGTAGAAACATTCTAGAAGGAAAAAAACACACACTCTAAAACATTCTAGAAGGAAAAAAACACACATGCTTTAGAATGAAAAAACATTCTAGAAGGAAAAAAACACACACTTTAAGACGTAGAAACATTCTAGAAGGAAAAAAACACACAAACTTTAGAATGAAAAAAAACATTCTAGAAGGAAAAAAACACACACTCTAAAACATTCTAGAAGGAAAAAAACACACACTCTAAAACATTCTAGAAGGAAAAAAACACAGTTTAGCACGTAGAAACATTCTAGAAGGAAAAAACACACACTCTAAAACATTCTAGAAGGAAAAAAACACACACTTTAGAACGTAGAAACATTCTAGAAGGAAAAAAACACACACTTTAGAACATTCTAGAAGGAAAAAAACACACACTCTAAAACATTCTAGAAGGAAAAAAACACACACTTTAGAACGTAGAAACATTCTAGAAGGAAAAAAACACACACTTTAGAACGTAGAAACATTCTAGAAGGAAAAAACACACACTTTAAAACATTCTAGAAGGAAAAAAACACACACTTTAGAACGTAGAAACATTCTAGAAGGAAAAAAACACACATAATTTAGAATGAAAAAACATTCTAGAAGGACAATAACACACAGTTTAGAACGTAGAAACATTCTAGAAGGAAAAAAACACACACTCAAAAACATTCTAGAAGGAAAAAAACACACTTACTTTAGGCAAGGCAAGTTTATTTATATAGCACTATTCATACACAAGGCAACTCAAAGTGCTGAACAAAATAAGAAAGCATTAAAATTATAAATAATCACCGAACATCAAATAGAAAGCTAAAAATATAAAATCCCTCAGTAGTATGCACAGCTAAACAGAACTGTCTTTAACTTGGCTTTAAACATTGTCATTGAGGAGGCCTGTCTCACATCTTCAGGAAGACTGTTCCAGATTTTAGCAGCATGAATCTGAAAAGCAGCCTCCCCATGTTTAGTTCTGACTCTGGGCACTAACAGGAGTCCAGTCCCTGTGCTCCTCAGAGTCCGGGCTGGTTCATATGGGACTAACATGTCACTAATATATTTTGGTGCGAGGCCATGGAGAGACTTGTACACAAGCAGAGCTGTTTTAAAGTCTATTCTCTGAGCCACAGGAAGCCAGTGCAGAGACCTGAGAACTGGACTAATGTGGTCGTACTTCCTGGTTCTAGTCAGGACTCGAGCTGCTGCATTTTGAATGTACTGCAGCTGTTTTACAGCCTGTTTGGACAGACCTGTGAGCAGGCCATTGCAGTAGTCTAACCTACTGGAGACAAATGCATGGATAAGAATCTCCAAGTCTGCTTTAGACACTCTAAAACATTCTAGAAGGAAAAAAACACACACTTTAGAACGTAGAAACATTCTAGAAGGAAAAAAACACACACTTTAGAATGTAGAAACATTCTAGAAGGAAAAAAACACACATGCTTTAGAATGAAAAAACATTCTAGAAGGAAAAAAAACACACTAAAACATTCTAGAAGGAAAAAAACACACACTCTAAAACATTCTAGAAGGAAAAAAACACACATGCTTTAGAATGAAAAAACATTCTAGAAGGAAAAAAACACACACTTTAAAACATTCTAGAAGGAAAAAAACTTTAGAACGTAACACACTCTAAAACATTCTAGAAGGAAAAAAACACACACTCTAAAACATTCTAGAAGGAAAAAAACACACACTCTACAGTTTTTCTCTATTGCTACAACACAAAACCCAGTACTCTAAACAAAATGACCAATTGCCTAAACACATTTATTAAAACTTCCCCCCACTTCTCACAACCATAAACACACGTCTCCTTTAGACACTGTTCACAAAACACATGCCCTTTTTCTCACACATTTTTCTTTTGCTAAAACACATTTTTCCTTTGCTAAAACACTTTTTGCATGTATCTCTACTCCTATAATCATTGTGAGGCTCATGTGATGAAAAATGTCTCCCACTGTCAGCAAAACCTGAACACAATGAACATACCTGGTGTCATTCAGAAAACACAACCACTCAGAATTGAAAACTCCTGTTGCAAATGATGTGACCACAACTTTATAAGTCAGTGCAGTTTGATGAAGGTTCAAAACGAAAATGGATAATCAAGGCAGAAGAAGAGGAGTTCGTGTCAGAGGAGGAAGAGGGGCAGGCCGAGGAGGGAGAGGAGCAGGCCGAGGAGGGAGAGGAGCAGGCCGAGGAGGGAGAGGAGCAGGCCGAGGAGGGAGAGACGCCGGCCGAGTAGGGAGAGGAGCAGGCCGAGGAGGGAGAGGAGCAGGCCGAGGAGGGAGAGAAGGAGGGCGAGCAAGACAACGCATTTCCATTACAGATGAACTAAGAGCAACAGTCATTGACCACGTCATTGTCCACGTCATGACTATTGTGTCTAATGGATCCTCTATAGAATCTACAGTACCCATGTTTGCATTGAGTTTTGACATAACTGCATTTTCTACTTTATGTAACTATTCTCATGATACGCGCAAATCTATAGTAAAGGCCCAAAACATATTTGAGAATAAAAAAAGTGTTGCTCAAATGCATCCTGGCAGTTGTGATACTGTAAAAAGAACAGTCTCACATTCTGAAAATTGTGTTTTCAATTGTTTTGGTGAAGTGGTTAATGATGCTCATAGTGTTCACATGTTTGCAGACCATGAGAGGTATTTTGGTGTGATGGGTTGGTTTTGAGAATATGAGTCACTGTTTTGGTGAGATGGGTTGGTTTTGAAAAGAGACTGTGTTGTTGTGTGTACGTAGCTTTAGAAAAGAGGTTTGTGTTTAGAGTTTTGAGAAAAGGGAGGGCAGTATCATGAAATGTGTTTAAGCAATAGAGAAAAACTGTAAAACATTCTAGAAGGAAAAAAACACACATACTTTAGAACGTAGAAAAAGTCTAGAAGGAAAAAAACACACATTCTTTAGAGTGAAAAAAAATTCACTGAACACAATGAACATACCTGGTGTCATTCAGAAAACACAACCACTCAGAATTGAAAACTCCTGTTGCAAATGATGTGACCACAACTTTATAAGTCAGTGCAGTTTGATGAAGGTTCAAAACGAAAATGGATAATCAAGGCAGAAGAAGAGGTGTTCGTGTCAGATGAGTAAGTAAGTAAGTAAGTAAGTAAGTAAGTATTTATTTATATACCGCCTTTTCACTGCAGATCTGAGTCTCAAAGCGGTTTACAATTGTTAATTTTGGGCATTTGTCTCTCACTCCACACAGAGATGGGAGCGGGGTCGCCAGTACAGAAGGCGCATGCTAGAACTGAGGGAGATGAGGGAGAGGAGCAGGCAGAGGAGGGAGAGGAGCAGGCAGAGGAGGGAGAGGAGCAGGCCGAGGAGGGAGAGGAGCAGGCCGAGGAGGGAGAGGAGCAGGCCGAGGAGGGAGAGGAGCAGGCCGAGGAGGGAGAGAAGGAGGGCGAGCAAGACAACGCATTTCCATTACAGATGAACTAAGAGCAACAGTCATTGACCACGTCATTGTCCACGTCATGACTATTGTGTCTAATGGATCCTCTATAGAATCTACAGTACCCATGTTTGCATTGAGTTTTGACATAACTGCATTTTCTACTTTATGTAACTATTCTCATGATACGCGCAAATCTATAGTAAAGGCCCAAAACATATTTGAGAATAAAAAAAGTGTTGCTCAAATGCATCCTGGCAGTTGTGATACTGTAAAAAGAACAGTCTCACATTCTGAAAATTGTGTTTTCAATTGTTTTGGTGAAGTGGTTAATGATGCTCATAGTGTTCACATGTTTGCAGACCATGAGAGGTATTTTGGTGTGATGGGTTGGTTTTGAGAATATGAGTCACTGTTTTGGTGTGATGGGTTGGTTTTGAAAAGAGACTGTGTTGTTGTGTGTACGTAGCTTTAGAAAAGAGGTTTGTGTTTAGAGTTTTGAGAAAAGGGAGGGCAGTATCGTGAAATGTGTTTAAGCAATAGAGAAAAACTGTAAAACATTCTAGAAGGAAAAAAACACACATGCTTTAGAATGAAAAAACATTCTAGAAGGAAAAAAACACACACTTTAAAACATTCTAGAAGGAAAAAAACACACACTCTAAAACATTCTAGAAGGAAAAAAACACACATGCTTTAGAATGAAAAAACATTCTAGAAGGAAAAAAACACAAAAAAACACACACTCTAAAACATTCTAGAAGGAAAAAAACACACATGCTTTAGAATGAAAAAACATTCTAGAAGGAAAAAAACACACACTCTAAAACATTCTAGAAGGAAAAAAACACACATGCTTTAGAATGAAAAAACATTCTAGAAGGAAAAAAACCCGATCTACAACATTCTAAAAAAACACACATGCCCTTTGTCTCAAAACTCTAAACACATTTTTCTTTTGCTAAAACACATTTTTCCTTTGCTAAAACACTTTTTGCATGTATCTCTGCTCCTCTAATCATTGTGAGGCTCATGTGATGAAAAATGTCTCCCACTGTCAGCAAAACCTGAACACAATGAACATACCTGGTGTCATTCAGAAATCACAACCACTCAGAATTGAAAACTCCTGTTGCAAATGATGTGACCACAACTTTATAAGTCAGTGCAGTTTGATGAAGGTTCAAAACGAAAATGGATAATCAAGGCAGAAGAAGAGGAGTTCGTGTCAGATGAGGGAGAGGAGCAGGCCGAGGAGGGAGAGGAGCAGGTCGAGGAGGGAGAGGAGCAGGCCGAGGAGGGAGAGGAGCAGGCCGAGGAGGGAGAGAAGCAGGCCGAGGAGGGAGAGAAGGAGGGCGAGGAGGGAGAGGAGCAGGCCGAGGAGGGAGAGAAGCAGGCCGAGGAGGGAGAGGAGCAGGCCGAGGAGGGAGAGGAGCAGGCCGAGGAGGGAGAGGAGCAGGCCGAGGAGGGAGAGGAGCAGGCCGAGGAGGGAGAGAAGGAGGGCGAGCAAGACAACGCATTTCCATTACAGATGAACTAAGAGCAACAGTCATTGACCACGTCATTGTCCACGTCATGACTATTGTGTCTAATGGATCCTCTATAGCAGGGGTGCTCAATACGTCGATCGCGATCTACCAGTCGATCGCAAAGGTAGTATTGGTAGATCGCATTAAATAAATAAAAAATTACACATTCTAAACGAATATATACAAAAAACTCCGGGCAAAGTGGAGATTTTTGAAAACTCCGTTAATGCATTTGTGTGTAGACAGAGATAACCAGAGTTTTGCGTTCTCGCACGCCACAGTACCCCCCTAAATTCCTCTGATCACTGAAGCATGGATCATACTACCTTAAAAACTGTCCGCTGTGAGATGCTCGCAGCAGCGAACATCCTCGCTCCACATCAGAGAGCAGCAAAGTGATCGCGGGGACTCACGCTCGAAAACAACCAAACCAGGACTAAACCAGGACTAAATCAGGGCTGAGGACGGGGTCAGTGCTTGTAAACATACGTCTTACTCTTTACTCTGAGTGTCTTCTATGACTGTAAAAGTGCCGTTACCGGCGTCTGCATCAAAGCTCCGCCCACTTCTGTGTTTTTCCCCAAAGCAGGACAGGACGTAAGAGACGCACATGTTTGGAATGTTACAAATGTGATTGATAACGCAGATGTGTGGATGCAAATTATTTTATAAACTGAGGAGGGGAAATATTTGGATTTAAAAAAAAAACAGGCATGGCACATGGACATGGCACCACAGTCAAATGACATCTGTGTTTTACTCAGTAATGTTTTACTGACACTTAGGTGACTGCACATGCGCAAACAACCGCGCTCAGTGCAGGAAAGCTAAACCACGACAAACTTGTCAGCGAGTTACCACCAATTTTCCGGACTATGCATCCCTGGCCGATTCAATTCAGTGCAAGTCATAAGAGTAAACTCGGGTAATGACAAAAAATGTACATCGGTAATTGTGTTGTGTTGTGCTATATTGGCTCATGCGGTTTTTCATGTACATAAACATACATTGTAGATATAAAGAATATTTTTTGAAATATATGATTTGCATTTTTGTAGTAGGTAGATCAGTATTTTGTAGTAGGTAGATCAGTACCCCCCAAAATTCCTCTGATCACTGAAGCATGGATCATACTACCTTAAAAACTGTCCGCTGTGAGATGCTCGCAGCAGCGAACATCCTCGCTCCACATCAGAGAGCAGCAAAGTGATCGCGGGGACTCACGCTCGAAAACAACCAAACCAGGACTAAACCAGGACTAAATCAGGGCTGAGGACGGGGTCAGTGCTTGTAAACATACGTCTTACTCTTTACTCTGAGTGTCTTCTATGACTGTAAAAGTGCCGTTACCGGCGTCTGCATCAAAGCTCCGCCCACTTCTGTGTTTTTCCCCAAAGCAGGACAGGACGTAAGAGACGCACATGTTTGGAATGTTACAAATGTGATTGATAACGCAGATGTGTGGATGCAAATTATTTTATAAACTGAGGAGGGGAAATATTTGGATTTAAAAAAAAAACAGGCATGGCACATGGACATGGCACCACAGTCAAATGACATCTGTGTTTTACTCAGTAATGTTTTACTGACACTTAGGTGACTGCACATGCGCAAACAACCGCGCTCAGTGCAGGAAAGCTAAACCACGACAAACTTGTCAGCGAGTTACCACCAATTTTCCGGACTATGCATCCCTGGCCGATTCAATTCAGTGCAAGTCATAAGAGTAAACTCGGGTAATGACAAAAAATGTACATCGGTAATTGTGTTGTGTTGTGCTATATTGGCTCATGCGGTTTTTCATGTACATAAACATACATTGTAGATATAAAGAATATTTTTTGAAATATATGATTTGCATTTTTGTAGTAGGTAGATCATTTTGACTTGATCCTTTTATAAGTAGCTCGCATGCTGAAAAAGTGTGAGCACCCCTGCTCTATAGCAGTGTCTCCCAAAGTGGGGTCCGCGGCCCCCTGGTGGGCCGCGAGGGTACTGCAGGGGGGCCGCGGGAAGTCATAAAAAAAATAAAAAAATTATATAATTATTTAATGTTAAATTTATAATGTTTTTTTTGTAATATTAAAATATTTGTGTTCATTATTTGACTTGAATAATCCACTGTAATCATTTTTGTATTACACTCTAAGAAATGAGATGTTGATTTTACTTAACAAAGTTATGTCAACCGGTCCCACGAAACTGTGTTGTTTAAATAGGAAATGAAAATCACTAATAATGTGAACACCACGTGTTAATTAAATGTAACCTAATATTCTTATTTTAAAACTAAATTACATTGTTATATTTAATAAACACAAGTAAATTATGTTGGATTTAATGGCACCACATTAAGTTAACTTAATATGACTGAATTTGATCAACCTAACACAAATTAACATCATTAACGTGATAAGCTTATGTTCATACAACACCCTGGTTGTACAGGTTAAATAAATAGATAATAAATAGAGCTTCAAGTGCTTAATTTCAAAGCTTTTATTACAGTGGCAGTGGGAGTAAAAAAAAAAGAACATTTTACAAAAACTGAAAATAATTTAAATAAAAATAAATGCAACAAAAAAATACTTTGCATTACTCTGTTAAAAAAAGCCACACCTATTTAAACCCACATTTGCTGAGCCAGCTGAGCTTTAAAGATAACTTTCACTTCTGGTTAACTATGAACTGGTAAACCTGAAGGTTGTGCTAAATAAAATAAATAAAAAAGCCCCAATATTGCAACGCGATGATGTTTAACACAACATCATTACTCAATAGAAAATAGTTGCATAATTGGATATGCACGCAATGTAAACATGAACGGGGGATGTACAACAAATAGGAACAGCCAATCACATCCCTAGACAATGGAGCGTGCAAACTGCACAGCAATTGTGGCAACTACCATGCAAGGTCTGCATCGGAGGAAAAGAAAAAAAATAAATAAAAGCCTCAAGAATGAAGTGCCAATAGTCAATAATCTAACAGTCCTAGGTGTTTGCCTGGTTGGCACATGCAAACAATCTATAATAGACCAGGACGCAACAGGTGAATCTTCTCTCAGTGGCGAGCATTGCTCGCCAATGACTGCAAAGGCATTGGTGAGGGGAGGCCCATCATGTGTGTCCGCTCGCTTGCATGCAGGGATAGTTGGGCTTTGATGTTGTTGGTAGTGAAGAGCTTGGGAATGGCGGGCAGTAGATTTTTAGTCAGTCATCTTTTTGCAGAAAATGTCCCCCATAGATAGTCTCAGAGCATGTTTGCATCTCCAAACTAATATGTGTGTGGGTATGAGTGTCTCTGATGCTTCAATTGGAGTATCAGGTAAGATTTACTGCAGGCCATTTTACATTAAACTCCATCTTCTTAAATTTCAAGTCTATTACTTGAATATTACTAGCATTTTCAACACTTTTCACAATTGAATAAGTCAAAACAACAATTACAGACAAAAAAAAAAAAAGTCTTCAACCATAACAGTGTAGTCCAGAATCAGTCAACAGTCCCAAAGCTCTTGCTTTCTTTTCAGCAAGAGGCAACAAATTCAAACCAAATCCAGTTCTAGTCTCTTGATTGAGTCAATTCACTCATGAAGCTTGTTTTTGAGAACTTGTACCTTGTTTGAGAGCTTTTTCCCATCCAATCCCATCACCACTTTTTGAAGGAATTCAAAAGTGTATTGAAGGTCCTTGGGATAGCTCAAGTTTAAGCAGTAGATCAAGCCAAATAGGGTTGCACAGCCATTTGCCACATCTCTCAGATCTTGAAGTGCCGTACATCCCTCTATGACAATGCCAACATCCTCGAGTGGATCTGCTCTCTCTGCTCCATCGTGTTGCACAGCGTAGACGGCCAAATCAACGTTCTCCATTTCCTTCTCTGCACCAACATCAACATCCTCAAAATGGCAGAAAGAAACCATATTAATTTATCATGTTATTAATGCGTATTGTCAATTAATATATGTGCCAGTGTTTTAAAGAATGACTGGTAATTGTGTTTGATGAACAATGAGCTAACTTCTAACTCTTACACTTTTGACCATATTTTGATTATTTCAAATGTCTACAATCTTTGGACATTTTTATGGTGAATTGTGATGATTGAAAATTACATCATAAATACAAGTGTGAGCCGTCTAGAGTAGTTTCTGAGCTATAAACATGAAAACAGTATTCAAAAGCTGAATTGTTTAAATCAATTAGATGTGTTGAACACTGTTATTGAGCAATGTCATAACCCACCATGTAGGTCTTAACAAGGTCGTCAGGTTCTTCATTTAAGTAAACACATAATGCCTTCAGAATGCATTCACGTCTTGTTTCAATAGTCGGACTCTGTGGGAGATCAAAAATACAATTTCAGCAATGGTTGTAGTTTTGCAATTTTCAATGTTAAAATATTGAATAAAACAATACAATTATAAATTGTGTTAATGATGGTCATGCGTTCATTGTTTTATACTATGTTTATGATATGGCTATTGGCTATCAATCATATTTAGACTTGATTGAAATTCAACAAGTTAAAAAAAAAGGTTGAGGTTATACATAAAAAAAATAAAAATACATCAGACAAGCATATTATGTTAAGAGTTCAACCCCTGAGTCAGAGTTTCAGTGAGGAGCACTCACCTGGTCCATGGCTGCCATGATCAAGTTAATTCTGCGTCCTGCTGCACCTCCCTTCTGTTTGAAGGCCTTCATCAGTTTGCTAGAGTAATGATCCAGTTGAGCCATAAAGGTTGACAGCAGGGGGACGGTGGTAATACGGTTAAACTCTGCATTTATCTGAAATGGATTAGAAAACAATCCTACATGAAACTTACAATATCCCATCACTTTCAACTGGTCACATATGACCAGTGTTGTTTTGAATTGTTTTCAATATGAAAGTCTGACTCTTTAATAAATATATAACCACAGAAAACAGGAGCATTACCTGATTCTCAGAAAACAGGGCTGGCCACCTGTTTTTAAATTCAGCTATGAAGGGCATATCTTCAATTAATTCTCGTCTCCTGTGGGCAAAGGTTTTCTCCATTTTCCTGCTGATTAGCTGGTTGTTGTTCTTCTTCTTCACTTCTAACGTAAGTTCTTCCCTTTCCTTTTCAAGGCTTTCTTTGGTTTCGTTTACTGGGTAAGCAGGGCAGAAGTTGACCTCCGCTTTCTTTGGCTTCTTCACCTGGTTTGGGCCTTTTCCAACAGCACCTCGCCTTTGTTTGACTCCATTGATGCTCAACTCTGGGCAGCCAATGTTCCTAAGTTTTGTGCGGTAGTTTGCCATTTTGTACTTTAAACTAATTATCCATCCATAGAAGCCGGTAACTGATCCCTGCTCCTTTAAACATGGATACTTTGTTACTAGGGCCTGGGCGACATCATCTAATTCTGAGCATGAAGGATACATTTTATATTTGACTATTTCTGATGCAAGGCCATCAAGTAGATCTGACTTCAGTTTGGGGCTTGGGCTCAAAAATGTACCACTGTTTAGGAAGTCTTGATTAGCCCTTTCCAACTGAATCTGTACCTCATAATTAAACTGAGGTATCTGGAAATTTTGGGGCCATTGCTGTGACCTAAGGCTGGAACCTGAAGTTGTAGATTCAGAGGAGGATAGAATATCTGTGTCTGATCCGGTGGTATAAGTACTGTCATCCAAGCACTGTGAAACAGGTTGGCATATGACTGATTCAGTTGTTAAGTTAATGACTTTCACAGTGCTCTTGTCTTTGATTTCTGAGATGTTTGTCAAGTTTATAAACTCATTATCAAAGTCAATGTCTCTGTACTGCAGTCTGAAATCGTCAGGCAAGCTGAATTGTCTTTTAATCTCTTCTTTGAGCGCCTCAACTGAATCTGGCATCCCGCAGGGCAGAGTCAGTTTTGATGCGTTGTCCACCCCCAGTACAACTCTCAGTGATGCAGCCATCTTGTGTTATTCTATTAAAAACAAAACAAAAAAATATGAATTAAGAAGAATTTATTTCACAACAACAACAATGCATTTTGGAGTGACTGAGTTTTAATAACTGTAAATTTCGGGCTATAGAGCGCCCCCGATAGATCGATAGATAGATAGATAGATATCGACGACAGAGCAATCACAAAGTATATTTTATTGGAAGAAATTACCTGTCACATGAACAAATCTTTTTAAAGTCACCATCCGTAAGGATCCAATCCTGTAGTCAGCGAGAGGATACTGATCAGCAAGCTCCTTTAACTGAACCAATGCAAATTGGGTAGTTGGATGCAATTCAAAAGCTCGATAGTGGTCTCTGTACCATGATGCCAGTTTTCTAATGATCAGACTCAAATCCTTTCCTACAATGCATAGCTGAATTATTTCTGAAAATTCTGGCAAACCACCACATGATCCATGCACAACTATCATGTCTTTTTTGTACTTTATGCCGTTAACAGTGACACTTCGAGCCAGGTTTACAGTAGTTAATTCAGGGTGTTTTTGGGTTATTGTGTTTGCAACATCATCCTTGAGGACATCAATGGGAACCTCTGAGATTTGACCAACATCCAATGAGAGGTTTTCATTGTCAGGACAAAGCATATGATGGGAAATCATTAACTGATGCTTTGTTGCCAAAGACAGAGTTACATTTCTGAAGTTATTGATATGCCTAGCCACCTGCTTAAAAAAGCTGTGTTTGGCCTCGAATCGCATGGTCCATAATGACACAAGAGGACCAAAGCATTTTATCATTTCTGGATAGTGTTCCAGAAAATGATGTTTGGGCAACAATCTTTGATCGGGAAACAGTTCCTTATAACGTGTTCGATGCTCAGATATTTTGCACTCCAAATATGCAATTGATTGTACACTATGAACAGGTGCTGCAACCAACTCTGCGATGTCCTTTAAATCCAAAATCACCTGCCAAGCAGGTTCCTCCTCGGGAACAAGTTTTCCTACAATAAAAGGGAGAAACCGAAGAAGGCACCAGTTTTCGTGGGCATTTCCACCTACTGAGTGACTTTTTTGAAAGGTTTTTGGTATCAAATGAGGCCGGTTAGTTTTATCTCCCTCTTTGAAAGGAAAAGAATGGATTAAACTATTGAGGTGATCAAGAGTGAACAACTTTTTTGATATGAGCACCTCAATGCACCGTGCTAGCTCGACAGGAACAATGCCCTCAAAGAGGTCGTGTACGATATCTGGGGGATAACCTGTTGTCACATTAAAGTGAGAGAGGCTGCAAGTTAAAATGCAAGACTTTTTTACCCCAAAGCAGCTTTTTCCCTCTTCTTGAGCTGTTTGGACGTGAAGCTGGTGAACTTCCTTGGTTCTCCGCTCAAAAACTCCCGTTTTCACTTCTTGTGTCTGGATGTCAGAGAGCTGAGCTGTACAAAATCGACAAAAATATCTTGATGAAAAACTCTCGACAAATCCAGCTAGCCCATGAGCTCCCAGGTTGTCTGCAGCAACACACTGCACTGTTCCCCTGACAAAAACTCCAAGGTGTTGAATATATAGGCCTTGCTTCTCCAGACTCACTAAATCATGCAACAGAGGTTCGAATATCTTTTCATAGCCAAAGGTTTTAACGTGATCACTTTTGCATAACAGTGCCAAGTAGATTGAGGAAAGGGATGAGCTGCAACCAGGAGGCAAGTTCCCTAAAACCCAGTACACAGCACAAAGTTTGTGTTTCTTGCGTGAGGTCCCCAATGGATTGCACACCTCAAAGTCGTCAATATAAAGACAAAGCGAAATCCTTAAATCCTCACCAAAAAAATTATTGTTTTTGTGGTGCTCGCCATCCTGAAAGCTGACGTACTGGTTTGCATTTGTAGATAAGGTTGTATGATGATCAACAAGCTTATCAACTATATCTTTACGAGCAAGTAACTGCTGTAAAGACTTTAGTAAGGGAACATACTGAAATGTTTTGTTGGCTCTCGCCTCCAGTATATACTCGACGGGTTCCACAACATTAAATGTTTCTTTGTAGTATTGTTTGCGCTTGAACGCAGTTGCCAGTGGACCTCCCTTAGCAATAGCTTTTATCAGAGGATTATTAGTGGAAAAGGCAACACTGAGCTCATTTATTATGACCTGGTCAACCTGAAGGTTATGCTTATTGAAAATGTCAAAAGCTGTGCTATGTGATATAGGTAGCGCTGCTGAAGTTAAAATGAAATGCAACTCCTCAAGCAAGCTGTCAATTGCTGAACATCAGAATCAGAATCAGAATCAGAATCATTTTTATTGCCAACGTAAGTAACGGGAGGTCACAGACTTGGAAATTGCTTTGGCTCAGTGCAACAGTCAAAAAGAGATAATAAAAATAAGAATAAAAAACACTTCTAAAGAATAAATTTAAATTTAAAATAGAGTTACAGTTACTATTTACAATATACAAGTGCACATGGTGCACACAATGTAAGGTGACAGCAGTACAGTGAAGTAAAGTGACGTATGATGGGCAGTAAAGTGACTTTATAAAGGGCGGGGGGACAGGTTAAGAAGTGTTCAAGAGTCCAACAGCAGAGGGGAAGAAACTGTTCTTGTGGCGGGAGGTTCTAGTCCTGATGGACCGCAGCCTCCTGCCTGAGGGGAGTGGTTGGAATAGTCCATGTGCAGGGTGAGAGGGGTCGGCTGTGATACGACCAGCCCGGCCTCGAGCTCGGGCGACGTACAGGTCCTGCAGCGATGGAAGGCTGCGGCCGATCACTTCCTCTGCAGAGCGCACAATGCGCTGTAGTCTCTGTTTGTCCCTGACTGTGGCTCCAGCGAACCACACGGTGACGGAGGAGGTGAGGATGGACTCGATGATGGCCGTGTAGAACTGCACCAACATCTGTGCAGGCAGCTTGGCTTTCCTGAGCTGCCGCAGGAAGTACATCCTCTGCTGGGCCTTCTTGATGAGAGAGCTGATGGTCGGCTCCCACTTGAGGTCCTGGGTGATGGTGGTGCCCAGGAAACGGAAGGACTCCACAGAGGTGATGGGGGAGTCCATCACGGAGGGTGGGGGCGGGGGGACAGTGCTCTTCCTGAAGTCCACAATCATCTCCACTGTCTTCTGGGCGTTCAGCTCCAGGTTGTTACCACTGCACCAGGACACCAGCCGGTCCACCTCCCTCCTGTAGGCGGACTCATCGTTGTTGGAGATGAGTCCAATGAGGGTGGTGTCGTCCGCGAACTTGATCAGCTTCACGGAGTCGTGGCTGGAGGTGCAGTGGTTGGTGTACAGGGAGAAGAGCAGGGGAGAAAGAACACAGCCCTGTGGGGCTCCTGTATTTATAATCCGAGAGTCCGAGACATTCTTCCCCAGACGCACTCGCTGCTTCCTGTCCGTCAGGAAGTCAGTGATCCACCTGCAGGTGGAATCGGGCACGTTGAGCTGGGAGAGCTTGTCCTGGAGCAGGGATGGCAGGATTGTGTTGAAGGCAGAGCTGAAGTCCACGAACAGGACCCTGGCGTAGGTCCCCGGGGAGTCCAGGTGCTGTAGGATGTGGTGGAGGGCCAGGTTAATGGCGTCGTCTACAGATCTGTTGGCTCTGTAGGCGAACTGCAGGGGGTCCAGGAGGGGGGAGGTGAGGGACTTGAGATGGGAGAGAACCAGGCGTTCAAATGACTTCATGACGACAGACGTAAGTGCTACAGGTCTGTAGTCATTGAGTCCTGTGATCCTGGGCTTCTTCGGAACGGGGACAATGATGGAGGATTTGAAGCAGGCCGGGACATGGCAGGACTGCAGAGAGGAGTTGAAAATGTCCGTGAACACAGGAGTAAGCTCACTGGCGCAGTGTCTCAGAGTGGCCGGAGACACGTGGTCCGGGCCAGGAGCTTTGCGGGGGTGCAGCCTCAGGAAGAGTTGTTTAATCTCTTTAGCGGCTATTGTTAGGCTGGGGGCAGGGCTGATGGGTGGGTCGTTAGAGTAGTGGGGGGTGGGGGAGGGAGAGGTGTCAGGGGCAGCATCAAAGCGACTGAAAAATAAGTTCAGATCGTCAGCTAGCTTGTGGTCATCAGCACAGGGGGGGGCTTTGGGTTTGTAGTTGGTGATCTCCCGTAGGCCCCTCCAGACAGAAGCAGTATCGTTGTTACCAAACTGCTCCTGTAGTCGTTCTCTGTGCCGGGACTTGGCTGCTTTCAGTTCTTTCCTGAACTGATATTTAGCTGCTTTGTAGCCGCTGCGGTCCCCCTCCCTGAAAGCAGACTCCTTTGCTTTCCTGAGCTGCCGGAGTTTAGCAGTGAACCAGGGTTTGTCGTTGTTATAGATGACCCTGGTCCTTGTTGGAATGATGCTATCCTCACAGAAGTGGATGTATGACGTTACAGTGTCCGTGTATTCATCCAAACTATCTGTGGCAGCTCTGAAAAGGTCCCAGTCTGTAGATTCCATGCATGCGCGCAGCTCTTCCACAGCTTCATCAGACCACACTTTGGAGCTCCTCACTGCAGGTTTCGAGAGCTTTAGTCTCTGTCTGTAAGCAGGAACCAGATGTATCATGGAGTGATCTGAGAAGCCGAGGGCTGGCTTGGGAACAGCGCGAAAAGCTCCGCGCACGGTGGTGTAACAGTGATCCAGAGTGTTCTCCTCTCTGGTCGGGCATTTGATAAACTGTCTGTATTTGGGTAATTCCTGGCTCAAGTTTCCCTTATTAAAATCCCCCAGGATAATAATCAGAGAGTCCGGGTATAAGCGTTCCATACAGAGTACTTGCTCTGCGAGTGCGCGCTGAGCCTCGCGCGCGTCCGCGCATGGCGGTATGTAAACAGAGGCAAGAATGAATGAAACAATTTCCCGCGGGGAGTAATATGGTTTACAATGAATGAAAAGATATTCCAGAGCAGGAGAGCAGTGCTTGGAGATCACTGTCACATCGTTACACCAGTTTGTATTGACGTAGAAACAGAGCCCTCCGCCTCTGCTCTTCCCTGAGAGCGCACAATGGCGATCCGCGCGAAACAGCCCAAAGCCCTGCAGCTCCAGAGCGCAGTCCGGGATCCGCTCATTTAGCCAGGTCTCAGTGAAGCAGAGGACACAGGATGTGGCGAAGTCCTTGTTTCTTCTCATGAGCAGGCTGAGTTCGTCCATCTTATTGCCCAGTGAGCGTACGTTGGAGAGAAAAATGCCGGGGAGAGCCGTGCGCGCTCCTCTCCTCCTAAGACGCACGAGCAGGCCTCCTCGCTTTCCCCTTTTACGGGCCCACACTTTTTTGGCTAGAACATGAACTAAATCAGCCGCAGATGCCAAGAAAACAGGCAATAGGTCCATGGGAACGGTGGGTCGGATGTTCATAAGTTCCTCACGGGTGTAGGAACAGCCAGATGCACAGTTAAAAAGTAAAAACAAAAGAAAAAGAGAGCAGCAAAGAGCCATGTCGACCGTACGAGGCGCCATCTTCGTATGTGTTTTCAACATGGCACATGTGAAAAAACCTCCAATTTCAAAAAAACTGTTGCCAATTTTTTAATGATTGTTTCTTGCAAGTTCTCATTTGGTGTGTCAGTTTCAATTAACTCATGACTTTCTAAGTTTGACGCAGTTTCTCCAAGTTCGCCTGGATGGTCTTCCGGTGCATTTACATTACCCCCTTTTACTAGTTCTACTTTAAAGTCTTGAACAGTGCAATGTTGATGCTTCCTGTTCTTATGTGATTTGTAAGTAGCGTATACATTTGTTTCAAATGTACAATTTTGAAAAACACACGTTACTTTTTCATATCGCCTCAGGTGATTGTTGATGTGAGACAAGTATTCTGTACTAGATGGTATTTCGCTTCCAGGGCACAAAGGGCAGAAAAAAACTCCAAGTTCAGCACTTCTAGTACACAACACATCAACATGACATCGACTCAGATGAGTTTTAAGAGCATTCCATGTTTTGAAAGAATATGGACATTCATAGTAAGTGCATGGATATGAGTGTCTCTGCCCATAATGATAATGTTTCAATTTGTAGTGTTTTAGTAACTGGTACCTCGTAGATACAGAATCGGGGCACTGTTTGCACCTCCACATTCAGAACCTAAAAAAAAGAGACAGAGTGATTAGTGATCTATTCAGCTATTAGAATTAATACTCCTTAGAAAACCGATATGGAACATAATAAATACAAAATAGACATTGTCGTGATTCAAGACAATTTTGAACTAAATGACAACATAGGGTTCCTGCACAGCTTGCAATGAGAAATTTATGATGTTTTTAAGACCTAGAATTACAAAATTAAAGACCATGAGCTGCTAAAGGCGACTCGCATTTTATGTAAATTTAAGTCAAATAGTATTTGAAAAAAATAAATCTAATATATATTGCTGGGTTTTGTGACATCACAGCGTTCTAAATGCCTATAATATTATATTGAGGTAAAATTATTTTGTTTTTGAGGAAATGTGTGGTCTTGTACAGAGGGATCATGGACCCAGTGACTGATATTAATGATAATTTTTGTAATTAAGTCTTTTTTTTTTTTTAGATACTACTTGTGAAAGTGTAATGCAGTTAATAGGAAGAAAAAAAACTGGGTACTATGACATCATCACATTCTAGAACCTGCAACCCAGCAAAAGTATAGTGAGGGAGCTAGGCATTTTATTTTAAAGATTGCCTTAATATTTAATTTTATACAGATCATTTAATCGTACACTAAATACCATTCTATATGAATTATTATTATCCCACTCCTTTTGAGCAGAGTGTTTGCTGCTCAAACAAACTAAACTAAACCAAACCAAACCATTTGAATGGACTACGAGTTCACACCGGTGTTCGCCACGAAATTATACTAAAAGAATCCAGTGCATCAGACTCTTATGAATTAGTTTACCAAGACAACTGTCTTTAAAACCAGTTTGTCTCAAGGCATTCACCGAGTTCACCTCATAACCATCAATTCACTCACGTTAAAGCAACCTTTGTAAGAACGGAAACACAAAACAAGTCTGTGCCGAACGAGCACCCCCAAACACCACCGCACTTCACTCAGGTGCGCTCCCCTGTCCCACCCTGTCTCCTGCTCAAAGCCTCAGATAGCCCTTGCAAAACGCCAACACAGACACGCCAACTATGCAGCTATTGATTTATTATAATAACTGTAGGCTAGCACCGCGCGATGCTAAGGACCTAGCCAACCCAATACGAGCTTCTGCCGTTTCGCACTGACCGCTTTCCAATGCGCTTCGTTCTGATCTTCTAACAAAAACTGCCGCCTCTGAAAGTTAAAAAGGAGCCGACGATGCTCACGTAACAGTGTTAGCGGAACCAGGCACTGACCCACGCCTGAACTGAAAACTCTTGCGTTATTAATTATAAAAAACAACTCGTAGGAGCAAGTCTTAAAAACACACGCTTCAAATGTAAGACCGAAACACACATTTTCAGCTAATTTAAGACCCCGAGGGAAACCTGCCCTCAGTGGGTTCCCGAGTGCAACGAGGAAAAAAAACACTGTAGCCCATTTGTCTGTGCTAGTCCGTGTTCCAAACGTTCGAAATGTATGACCACGGACAATAAAACACAAAAACGCGTATCTTCCGTTGTCACAACGTACAGTTTCATGCTGTATTATCAAGGAGGCGTTAGTACTTACCAATTTATTTCACGAACGACAGCTTCCAAGCAGAGCAAAGAGATCTCCGCCGTTTCCAGTTGCGAAAATGGCGCACGAGTCGAATTTTGCAAAACAGACTTACCGCCTAAACGGAGGAAGCCGAAGAGTGCCGGGTGCAGCTACAGGAAACTAGAATTTATTTCAGAATAAGAGCCCAAATTGTTATTCGCGTTATCTCAGTGTAAATGTCGTAATTTTAGTAATTCTGACTGTTGTAAACTCATTTTTAGAAAAAACACTCTTTAAGTAAAGTGATATTAGTCATTACTACCCACTTAAAAAAAGTAATTTAATAAAATTAAAATAAACACAGAAGAGGTCCCACTAAAACATTTATATACCAACAATTACAGTGCAATTGATTCGATTCCAAATGATAACATTCAGTGTTTAAAAGATTTGGAAATTTTAATATAGTGTTTTCTCATAATGTCAATGTCAATTTTATTTATAAAGCACATTTAAAAACAACCTCAGTTGACCAAAGTGCTGTACAAGTACAGTAGGAATATGTACAATATACACAATAAAACTTAAGCACAAGTAATATAAAAGGCACAAACTGTATCATAATCACACTTTTTGAACTCTACCAAAGATGTATCAGTATGTAATTAATTAAGCCTACTTTATAATATATGGAGAAGTAAACGGATTTATGCATAACTGGCTGTGAAGGACCACTAGGCTACAATGCTTCCCTTACCCAAGGTGATGCTATCATTTCAGCTCACTTTAGAAAATACAATCCAGCACCAGCTGAAAACATCAGGATGAAATAACAGGATACATAAACTCACAACTTTGAGGCGGGGATGGATGTGGATAATTGTGACTAATATCACTTTAATTCAAGAGTGTCTTATCTAAAAATGGGTTTACAACATTCAGAGTTCCTAAAATTATAACATATACATTGACATGACATGAATGGCAATTTGGGCTCTTATTCTGAAACAATTTCTACCCTTCTGCGGCTGCACCTGGTTTAAGTGAGATAGTTATGTTAGTTTAAATCGTATGTGTTTTGTTGCTTTGACATCTTTAACTATTATGTTACTCCAATGAAACATTGTTATTTTTATGTACAAACTTAATAATTATAATACTGTTACCGCAACAAAGTTACATAATATGAACATCAACACTAATTCGTTTCTTAGAGTGTACAATGTTTGTAGCAGAGGCTATTTCCCCAAAATAAAATAACCAGAAGAGCCTATTCTTAATGTTGTCTTCTTGGTTATTATTTTGGGGGGCCACGCAGACCCGTCAGATTTTTAAGGGGGCCTCGGTGTTACTGAGTTTGGGAATGGCTGCTCTATAGAATCTACAGTACCCATGTTTGCATTGAGTTTTGACATAACTGCATTTTCTACTTTATGTAACTATTATCATGATACGCACAAATCTATAGTAAAGGCCCAAAACATATTTGAGAATAAAAAAAGTGTTGCTCAAATGCATCCTGGCAGTTGTGATACTGTAAAAAGAACAGTCTCACATTCTGAAAATTGTGTTTTCAATTGTTTTGGTGAAGTGGTTAATGATGCTCATAGTGTTCACATGTTTGCAGACCATGAGAGGTATTTTGGTGTGATGGGTTGGTTTTGAGAATATGAGTCACTGTTTTGGTGTGATGGGTTGGTTTTGAAAAGAGACTGTGTTGTTGTGTGTACGTAGCTTTAGAAAAGAGGTTTGTGTTTAGAGATTTGAGAAAAGGGAGGGCAGTATCGTGAAATGTGTTTAAGCAATAGAGAAAAACTGTAAAACATTCTAGAAGGAAAAAAACACACACTCTAAAACATTCTAGAAGGAAAAAACACACTCTAAAACTTTAGAATGAAAAAACATTCTAGAAGGAAAAAACACACACTCTAAAACATTCTAGAAGGAAAAAAACACACACTCTAAAACATTCTAGAAGGAAAAAAAACACACAAAAACACACATGCTTTAGAATGAAAAAACATTCTAGAAGGAAAAAAACACACACTTTAGAACAAACATTCTAGAAGGAAAAAAACACACATGCTTTAGAATGAAAAAACATTCTAGAAGGAAAAAAACACACACTCTAAAACATTCTAGAAGGAAAAAAACACACACTCTAAAACATTCTAGAAGGAAAAAAACACACTCTACAACATTCTAGAAGGAAAAAAACACATGCTTTAGAATGAAAAAACATTCTAGAAGGAAAAAAACACACAAGGAAAAAACACACATGCTTTAGAATGAAAAAACATTCTAGAAGGAAAAAAACACACACTCTAAAACATTCTAGAAGGAAAAAAACACACACTCTAAAACATTCTAGAAGGAAAAAAACACACATGCTTTAGAATGAAAAAACATTCTAGAAGGAAAAAAACCCGATCTACAACATTCTAAAAAAACACACATGCCCTTTTTCTCAAAACTCTAAACACATTTTTCTTTTGCTAAAACACTTTTTGCATGTATCTCTACTCCTATAATCATTGTGAGGCTCATGTGATGAAAAATGTCTCCCACTGTCAGCAAAACCTGAACACAATGAACATACCTGGTGTCATTCAGAAAACACAACCACTCAGAATTGAAAACTCCTGTTGCAAATGATGTGACCACAACTTTATAAGTCAGTGCAGTTTGATGAAGGTTCAAAACGAAAATGGATAATCAAGGCAGAAGAAGAGGAGTTCGTGTCAGATGAGGGAGAGGGGCAGGCCGAGGAGGGAGAGGAGCAGGCCGAGGAGGGAGAGGAGCAGGCCGAGGAGGGAGAGGAGCAGGCCGAGGAGGGAGAGAAGGAGGGCGAGCAAGACAACGCATTTCCATTACAGATGAACTAAGAGCAACAGTCATTGACCACGTCATTGTCCACGTCATGACTATTGTGTCTAATGGATCCTCTATAGAATCTACAGTACCCATGTTTGCATTGAGTTTTGACATAACTGCATTTTCTACTTTATGTAACTATTCTCATGATACGCGCAAATCTATAGTAAAGGCCCAAAACATATTTGAGAATAAAAAAAGTGTTGCTCAAATGCATCCTGGCAGTTGTGATACTGTAAAAAGAACAGTCTCACATTCTGAAAATTGAGTTTTCAATTGTTTTGGTGAAGTGGTTAATGATGCTCATAGTGTTCACATGTTTGCAGACCATGAGAGGTATTTTGGTGTGATGGGTTGGTTTTGAGAATATGAGTCACTGTTTTGGTGAGATGGGTTGGTTTTGAAAAGAGACTGTGTTGTTGTGTGTACGTAGCTTTAGAAAAGAGGTTTGTGTTTAGAGTTTTGAGAAAAGGGAGGGCAGTATCATGAAATGTGTTTAAGCAATAGAGAAAAACTGTAAAACATTCTAGAAGGAAAAAAACACACATACTTTAGAACGTAGAAAAAGTCTAGAAGGAAAAAAACACACATTCTTTAGAGTGAAAAAAAATTCACTGAACACAATGAACATACCTGGTGTCATTCAGAAAACACAACCACTCAGAATTGAAAACTCCTGTTGCAAATGATGTGACCACAACTTTATAAGTCAGTGCAGTTTGATGAAGGTTCAAAACGAAAATGGATAATCAAGGCAGAAGAAGAGGTGTTCGTGTCAGATGAGTAAGTAAGTAAGTAAGTAAGTAAGTAAGTATTTATTTATATACCGCCTTTTCACTGCAGATCTGAGTCTCAAAGCGGTTTACAATTGTTAATTTTGGGCATTTGTCTCTCACTCCACACAGAGATGGGAGCGGGGTCGCCAGTACAGAAGGCGCATGCTAGAACTGAGGGAGATGAGGGAGAGGAGCAGGCAGAGGAGGGAGAGGAGCAGGCAGAGGAGGGAGAGGAGCAGGCCGAGGAGGGAGAGGAGCAGGCCGAGGAGGGAGAGGAGCAGGCCGAGGAGGGAGAGGAGCAGGCCGAGGAGGGAGAGAAGGAGGGCGAGCAAGACAACGCATTTCCATTACAGATGAACTAAGAGCAACAGTCATTGACCACGTCATTGTCCACGTCATGACTATTGTGTCTAATGGATCCTCTATAGAATCTACAGTACCCATGTTTGCATTGAGTTTTGACATAACTGCATTTTCTACTTTATGTAACTATTCTCATGATACGCGCAAATCTATAGTAAAGGCCCAAAACATATTTGAGAATAAAAAAAGTGTTGCTCAAATGCATCCTGGCAGTTGTGATACTGTAAAAAGAACAGTCTCACATTCTGAAAATTGAGTTTTCAATTGTTTTGGTGAAGTGGTTAATGATGCTCATAGTGTTCACATGTTTGCAGACCATGAGAGGTATTTTGGTGTGATGGGTTGGTTTTGAGAATATGAGTCACTGTTTTGGTGAGATGGGTTGGTTTTGAAAAGAGACTGTGTTGTTGTGTGTACGTAGCTTTAGAAAAGAAGTTTGTGTTTAGAGTTTTGAGAAAAGGGAGGGCAGTATCGTGAAATGTGTTTAAGCAATAGAGAAAAACTCTAAAACATTCTAGAAGGAAAAAAACACACACTTTAAAAACATTCTAGAAGGAAAAAAACACACACTCTAAAACATTCTAGAAGGAAAAAAACACACACTTTAGAACGTAGAAACATTCTAGAAGGAAAAAAACACACACTTTAGAATGAAAAAACATTCTAGAAGGAAAAAAACACACACTCTAAAACATTCTAGAAGGAAAAAAACACACATGCTTTAGAATGAAAAAACATTCTAGAAGGAAAAAAACACACACTTTAGAACATTCTAGAAGGAAAAAAACACACACTCTAAAACATTCTAGAAGGAAAAAAACACACATGCTTTAGAATGAAAAAACATTCTAGAAGGAAAAAAACACACACTCTAAAACATTCTAGAAGGAAAAAAACACACATGCTTTAGAATGAAAAAACATTCTAGAAGGAAAAAAACACACACTCTAAAACATTCTAGAAGGAAAAAAACACACATGCTTTAGAATGAAAAAACATTCTAGAAGGAAAAAAACCCAATCTACAACATTCTAAAAAAACACACATGCCCTTTTTCTCAAAACTCTAAACACATTTTTCTTTTGCTAAAACACATTTTTCCTTTGCTAAAACACTTTTTGCATTGTTGTAGAATTACATACCCCAAAGCAAGGAGAAAGCTCAAAAGTCTTTGTCTTAATCAGAAGCGTAAGTTTATTGTACACACGTGCGGAGAGCTAGCATATACAAAAGGCAGCATACCCAGCTCTGGGGCGCAGAGCTCAACTTCCTGTTTACATAGACACACATGAAAGACAGTCACGCCCACAACAGATGGGAGGGGGCCACCGGTGAAGGAGGCGCATAGGGAGCGCAGGCGCCATGCCCTGTGGTGAGGCAATCAGACACAGTGGCATGGAGGTGCGAACAGACAGACAATGGTAGAAATGCAGGCATACAGATGCAAGATACGAAAGACACAAGGGTGTGACAGACAGCAGAGACCTTCACAAAGCTCAGCATGGCGTCAGAAGGTCGTCTCTGCATTGATAAAAGGCCTTTGACGTCCGTGTATTTGCTGCGGCTGGTTTTAATGTAATTACTCTAAAAACTGTCATTACACTCCCCTCTTTTGATAATTCAAAACCATTTTTGCATTAATCAGTTAAATACCAGAGGCATCGTAATCACATCACCTTCAAGCTTGAAACACTTAAATTATTGCTGTCCAAAGTGGACAAGAAAAGAAACATGCTTATCAATAAAAGAAAGAGCACATTATAATAACACAATGGATCCGGACAGCGATAAGAGAAGACAATATTAACATAATAAACACGGTCAGCACGGAAAGTAGTGTCAGTGTGGCCAGCATAACAGTCCAAGGGCCCATGCCGGTCTTAGCCGGGCTACGTTCGGTAGTCTTTTCCGCGGGAATACTCACGAACAGTGCCGTCTCGCAGTCAGTGGCACCGCTCCCTATGAGCGTGTGTGGAGCGTTAGTGGTCATGGCGATGTTTGGTCTTGGAGCGGCAAGACTCTAATTGCGTTGAAGCCTTGGCCTCAGCACTCGGTTGGGCAGAGTGCTCGGGGTTTGGGGTGTGGAGACCATGGCTTGAGCACGCTCCAGATCGGCCAGGCCCAAAGCTCGTTTGATGGGAGACCTCATGACAGCACGCTTCACCATGTGCCTCATCAGGAACTGTAGAGCAGCCCTCATCTCCACCTCCTCCGGACACACAGGAGACGAGACACCAGGGGGCACTCCAGCAGAGCCCAAATCTGCATTATGGCCAGAGGGAGCAGGCTCTGGAGAAATCTTTGGAATGAGCAGCAGCTCTGCATACTTGCTGCAGCTGAGCAGAGCGCTCAGGGCCTTCATGGCTCCCAGGCCTTGGGGTCCGGGGGCTGGGGAGTTGGGCAAAGGGGGGTCGCCTCGGGAACGCTGGGATTCTCTGGGTGTTGTTGTTGGCCTGCTTCACCGACGGTGGTCGCACGCCGGCCGACCTCTTCAGCGTAGGGAGCCGCGGATGGGCCTGGTCCGTCCGCGCCCTCGGTGTCCTCGTCTATGGCCCTCAGTGGCAGCACCGCACGACAGTGGTTGGCGTGGATCCAAGTTGTCCTCTCCGTGACCTTAACGGCAGTGTCCGTCACCAGGAGGACGAGGAATGGGCCGAGCCAGCGCTTGGACCGCCAATGCTTTCGTCTTGTTTCCTTCACCAGGACCCAGTCGCCTGGCTTGATCCTGTGCAGAGCCGCCTGCGCAGCCTGTGGCAGGGCGCTCCTGACCTGGGCAGAAATAGAGGGCAAAAGTGCATTAATTTCCTTACAATAGGACAGCATGTCGTCATCACAAAGAGGTGCTTGGCAGATCTCTGTTCGGGGGTCCCGCGCCCAAGTTGGGTGGTCTGGCAAAGAGGATTTCGAATGGGACTCTCATGCGCATGTACATGAGGGCTAGCGGCAGAGCTTTGAGTGCCATTCTCTCACTCGCACGCGCCTCGCTCCAGGGGGCGTAACTGCAGTGTTTACGTATATCAATTTCCAGAAATTCACCCACTTCCTCAATGACTTTTGCTACAAAGTGACTGCCCTTGTCACTAGAGATTTTTTCTCGGGACACCCCATCGTGGCACAATTTCTGTGAGCAGAGCTTTCACCACCGCGTTGCTCATGGCGTGTTTGCCTGCAAATACTTCAGTCCATTTGGACCAGAGATCCGCCAGACCCAGACAGTATTACTTACCTTGGCATGGTGTGAGTTCAACAAAGTCCCTTTGGACATGTTGAAATGGGCGCAGGGGCGGAGGATGAGCAGCCTGTTGGATACTTTTGGGACTTACCTGGGTTGTGCGCGAGGCATATAGCGCATGTTTGGCAGAATCTCTGTGCAAATGCCGTAAACCCCTTTGTATACCAATTTTGTGTGATTAAATCACACATCCCTCCTTCTGAGGCATGGTCTCGACCATGTGCTAAAATTGCAAACTGTCTGAAGAAATGCCGTGGTAGGCACGGTTTGAGGTCTGGTCCCAGCCACACACACCATGCCGTCGTTGAGCCCCATTCCCCTCCCACAGCAGCGTCTCTGCTGGAGTAGCCAGTGCCTGCATCGCTGACAGAGAGGAGAAAATATCAACGTCTTGAGTGAGGTAGTGTGTGTGTGTGTGTGTAGAGGTGCGTATGCCGCTGCCTTGTCCGCGCGCCGATTCCCTGCAGAGATGGGATCAGTGGCATTAGTGTGGGCCTGGCATTTGCATACAGCGATCTCTAAGGGCAACATTACAGCTTTCAGCAGACGTTCAACCTGTGTGGAATTAAGAATTGGTTTACCATCAGATTTCATGAAATTGCGGTGTTTCCACAGTGCCCCCCAGTCGTGCACCACAGAGAAACCATAGCGCGTATCACAGAATATGTTAACAGTTTTGCCCGCTGCCAGCTCACAAGCCCCGGTGGGCGCGACCAGTTCAGCGGTTTGTGCTGAATGGTAGTGGGGCAAACTACCAGAGTCTATAGTATCAAAATCAGAACACACAGCATAGCCGACTCGGTTCTTCCCAGTGTTGTCACGTGACGCGGCTCCGTCTGTATAAAAAAATCAAGTCAGGATTAGTCAGAGGCACCTCTTTCAGGTCTGGCCTGGGAGTGCATCTCTGTTCTATTGTGGCGATACAGCAGTGTGCCTCCCCTTCCTCTGGCGTGGGCAGCAGTGAGGAGGGGTTCAGCTGTGTGCATCTTTTCACCGTAGTTCAAAGAGCACCGTGTTGTATTTCAGCCAACGAGCCGCAGAAAGGTGAGAGGTTTTCTGCTCTAGCAGGATCAGGGAAACAGCATGGGGCACAAGCAAAGTTAGTTCAGTGTATCCCACAAGGTCACGTGATGCTAGGGCCGCTTTCTCAGCGGCAGCCACAGCCCGCAGGCAGCGAGGCAACCCTGCTGCCACGGGATCGAGTTTTGCTGAGAAGTAAGCAGTGGGTCTCAGTGGCCCTCCGTGAGACTGCAAAAGTACCGACACCATGCACCCACACCGCTCATCCACAGTCTGAGTGAATGGCCGTTGGGTCAGGGAGACCTAGTGTGTGTGTGTAGATTTGCTGTTCCGTTCATCTCCAGTTGCTTTTCTCCCGGATCGTCCTCAATTCATATTGTGGGCTTTGGTGTCAAAGCAGAGGCTCATTTCCTCATGATCCATACTACTGTCATCCCTGAAGCAGGGGTAGTTTATCTCTAATCTGAAAAAGAAATATTAGAACACAAAAAACACAAAAAATGCCCACTTTCGCTTGTCAATCTTTTTTCCAATTGGGCAAAACATAACTGCATTGACAGACGGTGTGTGACACCAGCCAAATACAGACTTAACAAAATGTATGTTTCTAATTTTATACTCCCCTAAATGTGAGTTTACAAACCAAAGTTGTCCTTCAACCAACGACAGCTCACTGCGGTTGGGCCGACTCACTGTCAGGACAAACAGCAGAGGCAGGGACTCCCAATGTCTTCAGCAAGGCATTTCATCTCAGAGTACTTTCAGCAGAGTACTCTTCTCAGAGTACTCATCCCAGAGTACTCTCACTTTTACACCTGTTCAATAAAGCTTGTTATCTTTGAATCTCTAGTACTTACACCGTATGCTGTTGACAAAAAATAATTATTCCATGATCACATTAAAACATTACAGACACATTTGTTATTCCATTCTCCGTTCAGCACTCCTCGTTCATTCCTCATTTCACTCCTCATTTCACACCACACTCACATCACAGTCACATCACAGGCCGATTCCCTACGTTAGTATTTTGGTCCAGTTTGTTAAGGTCAACGTAGTGTACTTTGACATGACGCACAAACATATAACATACACAAACATATAACACACACAAACATATAACACACACAGAAGGCCTGTAATTTTAACTTTGTTACATTTTTCCATGTCCAATTACAATTGTCTCATGAGCTATTTCTATTGTTGCAACTTTCAGAGCCTGCAGAACATGCAGAGCTTTAAAAGAGTTTTCCTAAAAGGATCCATTTCCAACTTTAGTGTTTACCACGTGGTCTATACTCGGGCTTATCACCGATTGTGTCCCCTATATCTCTACTGAGCTCTTGTTACTTAAAAATGTTTTTTTTTTTTTCCTTCTTTTTTCTTTTTCAATAAAGCCAGGTCGGATTCATTAAAAATGTAAATTAGTCTCAAACTTTAATACTTCACCTTTGTTTCACGATAAAATGTTTTTGTTGCTCATTAAGTAGCACAGATAGTGGTGCCTATCTCAATAAACGTACTCCGTTAGCCTATCTTCACTACACTGCATGAATTTTGTGAAGCGACCACTCATTTGAGAACGGACCAAAATCTGTCACCTTATGTTTTGTTTTAAACACAGGATTTGTTGTCCCTGAATCATCCAGAATTTTAACTTGTACGCCACAGATTGTTAGCGTATGTTACGGGAATTCAGCATGAATTATCTCTAAAAAGTGCCAATTGCAATTTGTTGTTGTTCAAACTTACATGAGTGGTCGCTTTGGTGACGAATGTGAACCCGGGTTTGGTCAGTCGCTCGTGTTTCCTCCACGCCCGCCTCTGCCGTCCTCTGGCCCCGTGTGAGCCTCTGCCTTTAACGCCTCCTCCGGTGACAGTCCTTCGACCCATGTCGAGCACACAGTCTTTCCGCCGGGCTGTGGAAGTTTCTCAAAGTCCGCAGGAGGCCCAGGTAGCCCAAAGCGTTAGCCTGTGGTCCATGAGGGTTGGTGAATAACCAAACGTGCCGGTACTTTTGGCTTCTTCTGTTTGCGGTGCGGGGGCAACTTTCAACGAGGTTTCAGCGGGTGCGTTTGGTGTATCACGCTGTCGCCTCTGTGGGGAACAGTCACGGGATTTGGAGCAGTTTGTCTCTGGCCTCCAAAGCAGTTGTCGGTGTCTCACATATCTGCTTCCCCCGCTTCTTCTTCTGCGGTTTCCTGAGCGTGTATCTGCTTCCGCCACTTCTTCTTCTGCTCCCGGGTTTGGGCCCACTTCTCGCGGGGTCTCAGCTGGTGCGAGCGCCGCCTGTGGTTGGGGCGTGGGGCTGGTGCTGGGGCTTTGAGGCAGAGGACAGAGCGCGGAGGAAAAGCGCCGACAGACCTGGACAGGGAGAGGAAAAAGGGACAACAGTAGTCTGCTCATTTTTTTTTTTTTTTAAAACCCAACGCCTTGTTTGGGTGCACACTTATTGTTAGTAGGGGAAAAAGGGCGGTAGGGTGGGGGTGTGGGGGTGTGTGGGATGTGTGTGTGTGTCCGCCTGTGTGTTCTCCGCTTCGGTGAAAAGCGGAGGAGCTATTATTTTACATATTTCTTTCTCTAACGTCTTTTGCCGTGATATTCTTAAAACCAAGTATATTTTTTCTTCCCTTCTTCTTCTAAATTATCACGCAAGATGCGTAATTGATTCGGAGACATAGAGCCTCCATCGGAAAAAGCCAGATGACCTGCACCATAGGCAAGCACTCCATAGCTTGCATCTCTAGATTGATTTTTCCCCATTTTCTCGTACGAACAATGGACCTAACCCGCTTAGTCTCTCCCTGCTCTTACCCACTTTGGGGCGCTCCGTTCCCCCCCCGCTGGTTCAACCAACGAGCGCGCGTTCTTGAAACGGAGCGGGTCTGGCTGAAGACACTTGGAGAAATTATCAGGGTCGCTTACAGAGCGATTACTAACGCGCAGCCGCTAGCTTCAATCTAGAACAAAAGACCCCAAAAATCCCGCACACAGTCTATGCTGTGGCAATGAATGAAATACCCCAAAAATACATAAATAAACAAATCCCCGTGTACACTTAAGTGCTGCCCTGGGCTCGTTACGCAGATGAAAAGACAAAACTCACCAAATTAGGTTCTTTTTGGTCTTGTGTGGCAAAAGATTCCTTCCATGCGCGGACGAGCGCGCCCTCCTTTGTCTCCAAATAGAGCAGAGGCTGGTGTTGTTTCCAGGTCGGCCAAACGCGGCCGCTCGTCCCCGCCGAAAGTATCCATGCCAAGACATGTCAGCAACGCCAAATTGTTGTAGAATTACATACCCCAAAGCAAGGAGAAAGCTCAAAAGTCTTTGTCTTAATCAGAAGCGTAAGTTTATTGTACACACGTGCGGAGAGCTAGCATATACAAAAGGCAGCATACCCAGCTCTGGGGCGCAGAGCTCAACTTCCTGTTTACATAGACACACATGAAAGACAGTCACGCCCACAACAGATGGGAGGGGGCCACCGGTGAAGGAGGCGCATAGGGAGCGCAGGCGCCATGCCCTGTGGTGAGGCAATCAGACACAGTGGCATGGAGGTGCGAACAGACAGACAATGGTAGAAATGCAGGCATACAGATGCAAGATACGAAAGACACAAGGGTGTGACAGACAGCAGAGACCTTCACAAAGCTCAGCATGGCGTCAGAAGGTCGTCTCTGCATTGATAAAAGGCCTTTGACGTCCGTGTATTTGCTGCGGCTGGTTTTAATGTAATTACTCTAAAAACTGTCATTACAGCATGTATCTCTACTCCTCTAATCATTGTGAGGCTCATGTGATGAAAAATGTCTCCCACTGTCAGCAAAACCTGAACACAATGAACATACCTGGTGTCATTCAGAAATCACAACCACTCAGAATTGAAAACTCCTGTTGCAAATGATGTGACCACAACTTTATAAGTCAGTGCAGTTTGATGAAGGTTCAAAACGAAAATGGATAATCAAGGCAGAAGAAGAGGAGTTCGTGTCAGATGAGGGAGAGGAGCAGGCCGAGGAGGGAGAGGAGCAGGTCGAGGAGGGAGAGGAGCAGGCCGAGGAGGGAGAGGAGCAGGCAGAGGAGGGAGAGGAGCAGGCCGAGGAGGGAGAGGAGCAGGCCGAGGAGGGAGAGGAGCAGGCCGAGGAGGGAGAGAAGGAGGGCGAGCAAGACAACGCATTTCCATTACAGATGAACTAAGAGCAACAGTCATTGACCACGTCATTGTCCACGTCATGACTATTGTGTCTAATGGATCCTCTATAGAATCTACAGTACCCATGTTTGCATTGAGTTTTGACATAACTGCATTTTCTCGGCACGGTGGCTGAGTGGATAGCACTCTCGCCTCTCAGCAAGAAGGTCCTGGGTTCGAATCCCGGTCGGACCAGGGCCTTTCTGAGTGGAGTTTGCATGTTCTCCCCGTGTCTGCGTAGGTTTCCTCCGGGTACTCCGGTTTCCCCTACCACTAAAAATATGTCCAATAGTTCTGGCATGTGCCTCCTGTACTGGCGACCCCGCTCCCATCTCTGTGTGGAGTGAGAGACAAATGCCCAAAATTAACAATTGTAAACCGCTTTGAGACTCAGATCTGCAGTGAAAAGGCGGTATATAAATAAAAACTTACTTACTTACTTACTTACTTACTTCTACTTTATGTAACTATTCTCATGATACGCGCAAATCTATAGTAAAGGCCCAAAACATATTTGAGAATAAAAAAAGTGTTGCTCAAATGCATTCTGGCAGTTGTGATACTGTAAAAAGAACAGTCTCACATCTCAAACATTCTAGAAGGAAAAAAACACACACTTTAGAACGTAGAAACATTCTAGAAGGAAAAAAACACACACTCTAAAACATTCTAGAAGGAAAAAAACACACACTTTAGAAGTAAAAAACATTCTAGAAGGAAAAAAACACACACTCTAAAACATTCTAGAAGGAAAAAAACACACATGCTTTAGAATGAAAAAACATTCTAGAAGGAAAAAAACACACACTTTAGAACGTAGAAACATTCTAGAAGGAAAAAAACACACACTTTAGAACATTCTAGAAGGAAAAAAACACACACTTTAGAAACATTCTAGAAGGAAAAAAACACACACTTTAGAATGAAAAAAACATTCTAGAAGGAAAAAAACACACATGCTTTAGAATGAAAAAACATTCTAGAAGGAAAAAAAACACACACTTTTGAACTGTGCAAGACTACCCCAGTTTGCGTACACACCAGAGCTCTTGCCACAGCGCAATTTTTCCAGCATTGACAAAACAAATATAATCACAATACACTAAAAAGAGTGCAAATACAATCCTTCAGTTGTATGCGCAGGTAAACAGGACTATTTTTAAGCTAAATTTGGACATTGTCAGAGTAGAAGCCCATGTTTCTAGTTAGTACTGACTCTGGGCCCCAGCAGGAGGCCAGTCCCTGTGCTCCCTTTGATATTAGGCTTAAGATTAAGAGATCCTTCATTCATCCCACAGCCTAGTTTTGAACATGGTCAGGGTAGAGGCTTGTCGCACAACCTCAGGAACACCGTTCCATATCCATATTCAATCATTCCATATCCTCTGCAGGAACACATAATCTCTGCGTCTTAATTTCCTCTCCCTGGCCATCTCTGAGTCCTCACTGTCTCATTGTGCCTGACTTATGAGCTCTTTCCACCAGCTGCAGTCTGAGGAGAGAGAGCCAGGCGACATACCCACTCACTTCCTAATGGATAAGTTTTCCCCATTCCCCACGACCATTAGGATATATAGCACTCAGCAGCGGCCAGCGGCGATGATCGGGTTAAACACTTACAGCACGCCGTAAAAGTGAGGAGTGGTCAGCCGAGCGTGCGCCGAGGCTGGTGGGAGGGAACTTGGCGTGTGGACATGTATCGACTTTCGTTACATGAGGCAACGTCCACTCAAGACTTATGGGGAAGTACTACATCCATGTCCGAATCTGTTCCTGTTTGAGAGTTTGTGTAGTAGTAGGTGTTGTTTGTGAGCAGTAGTAAGTGTAGTTTGTGTAGTAGTAGTATGTGTAGCTTCCAGTTGATTGTCCTGTCGAAGTCAGAAATGATGGTTATGTTTTGTCTATTCCATTTAGTCATATAACCAACTTAAGAGCTAAAACACAAATGGAAAAAAAACAAAAAAAACAAACTATTATAATTACATTGAATTGTTTTCTTTCTTACATACTTATCTTACTTTCATTATTTAACAAACTTTATTAAAAGATATTTAATTAACATCGGGAAAAGGGGTGGGATTTGATGTTGATTTGGCTAGTTTTTTATATTTAGTTTGTATAAATATTGTCATTTTTTGTGTTCTTACTGTTGTTTTTATTCCTAGTTCAATAAAAAAATGATTCATTTACATGTTTTATACATTTTAAATCAATGCATACCTCTCGTTCCCTCTATCAGCTATTGCTAAAGTTTATTGTTGTTACTTTTATACCGTTTTAACTCTTTGTTTTCTTTTTAGACCATAGATTAGACCATAGCTCTTTCTTTTCTGTAGTGGGAGCCACATAACTTGGTGTGTCAAAACAGTGGCAAAACATTTTTTTTTCTAAATTAATAATAACAAATGCGTTAATCAACCTTTACAGTAAGTAATGTTTATATACAGTATACGCAATTTTTTTCATATATTGTTTCATGTCGAACACACTGGCATCAAAGACCCCAATCAAAACCATCCATTCACTCACTCATTACATTCAGACCTATAGGGCTGGAAAGTCTCGTCCCAGAAGCACTTCCGGTTCATTGCTCGGATACAAACAAACCGTCAGCTGTTCGAAGAGGCTGTTTAAATGAATGGTGCAAAATGCTCTGCTTTGTTTTCGGCGGTTATCATCAAAGTTTACATGAAGCATGCTCATTTTTTGGGTTTCCCAAAGACCAACTGAAGCTGTGTAAAAAGCTATGCAGTTGTGATAAAACATTTTGTCTGATTTTACAGATGGTTAACTTGAATATGTATTCAAGCTAACTTGTAGCTAATGCTAACCTGTAGTGCGGTGCCGAGCCTTTCATTGTGGCTTGTATTTTAAGATAAGATTAACTTTATTGTTGTCACACTGGATACATTTATTTATTTATTTGAGAGATAAAGGAGGAACATATTAGCACATATTAAATAACATTTAACAAATGTTCAAATATAAACAGAAAACGGACCATCAAAATATTAGTAGTAAATGAATAGGTAACCCAACTACATCATGTTATTTTTGGCAGCACAGCAAAAAGAAAAAAGACCCAATGTGAAGCTGCAATGAATGTGAAGTGGAGATTGAGCTGATGTACGGATAGAAAACTGATCATTCACAAACATTGGCTCATAACCAACGCAGCAAAGATAGCTGTAAGGGACATCAATGTATTTGCATGGGAATAGTGTTTCTATATTCTTTCTGATGCATAATAGTGGATTAAAAAACAATGAGTTTGAACACGGCCCTGCACCTTTCTCATCTCCCCGTCATATAAACTTCAGGACATGGTCAGTTCACAGCTCATTCCGACCGCTCACTCAGTTTTTCTGTCCCAGAGACGAAATGTGTCCAAAATAACACAGGAGGGGGTAGAGGAAAACCGGAGCACCTGGAGGAAACCTACACAGACACAGGGAGAACATGCAAACTACACACAGAGAGGCCTGGAGTAACTAGTAATTGCCTTGTTTTATGTGGTTGTCATAGGTGTTATCTATACATCGGTATATCTCCAATCCAGAATCATAATCATTTGAATTACTAATGTAAGTATATAAGGAAGTCACAATCGAGGAATTTGCTTTGGATCAAGGTGCAAACAAGTTATAAAAGTAAACATAGATATAAGGCCTGCATATAATAATTGAAATGTCGGTACCTCTCTGGGTGGAGTAAATTAAGATTAATCTTAAGAGATCCTTTGTTCGTCACACGGTGGGGAAATTTCAGTGTTACAGAACAGTAGGAATGAGCAGCACAAGATAAATGAATAGTTACTCTATACTAAAATAAAACTTGATTAAGAAGCAAGTATAAGATCTCTATATTTATGATAACAAACAAGTATAAAATCTCTAACTTTAGCATAATAAAGAAGCAAGTGTAAAATCTGTAACTTTAGCATAATAAAGAACCAAGAATGAAAGAATCAGTATCAATTTATTTCCCATTTGCAGAAAAAAACTTGAAAAAAAGCAAAGGAAGCAAGACGCAAGAAAGAACTAAAATTCCCTTCATTCATTTAAATATTTTAAAGCAAGTTCCCAAAGTGCTGCAGAGAGACCTAACTATGGTTTACTGTATAGATTATTATTTCAGACCAGACACTGCTTCTCTCTGTCCTCTCTGGGCGGCTTCTCTATGTCACCACTTTCTATTCAATGTTAAAAAAGGTGAGAAAAGGTCATAATCGGAGCAGAAGCTGTCGTCGCTGAACCGATATATATTTGAAGAGCCGCTCAACACGACAACAGATCGATGGCGGAGGCTTGCGATGTCACTTATTGGCATTTAGGTGAGGTTTTTGCAAAGGGGTGCGACCTCAGCATTTTTCTCTCTGAGCAAATGCAACGGCGTCATTGTATCTATTCTGACTTAATGCATTGTGGTGTCGATTAGACTGCGTGTGTAATGTATAATGTGTAATCCAATTCACCTAAAAGGGGAGAATGAACGATGGCTTTTATGGGATTCAGTCCATTTGTTTTTGCAGGAGCCATGTTTTTTTTAATGATGGGATATTAAAGGCTTTGTTTGAGCTCATTCTGGCCTATGACTAAACGCTTCTGTCGTCTTATATTATAATATTATAACGGGGGTCTATAATTTTCACAGTTTCATAAAACACAACAGTGGTACTTCATCACCACTGTGTATGAAGTGAAAAAAATAACACTTTATTAAAACCCATGTATCACCACCAGGACTCAAAGAATTCTAAAACTAATAGTACTACCAGAATCCCATTCAAATAAATGGGATTAAAAAAAAAAAACAAAAATGGAAAAAGTTTAGATTTTCACTTTTTATGTTTTTTGTGTGTGCTTAAACCGGTTAATGAAACTTGAAATACTGCAAAAAGAGTTTGAGGCTACCAAATGCTAACTGATGACATGTAAACAGTTTTTTTTACTAAGGTATCTAGCACTTTTTAGCTATTTTCTCTGGTTCTGAGCAGAGTCGGCTC